AATAATATGAGTAGGTAAACCCCCCAATGCTTGAGGGTGTCCCTGATTTGATTTTGTAAATGCCTTGAATTTCGAATTTCAGTAATTTATTTGTTCTTCATATTCAATTTAATCATACAAAGTTTTTAATGCTTTCTTTGTCGGACCAACAAGGATCGAATTGCGGTTAATAATTTGGATGGATCGCCGTTGTTAAGGCATTTCTGTGAAATTAAACCATAATAGATATCACCTAGGACTAGGAATACCCTATAGTTACCGGTTAAATCTTGATAAAACAAAGGCTTGATTTCATCATATTTCTCTAAGGACTTAGGATTTAGGATGAATGCTCAAAGGTTTTCTCACTAAGGACTTAGGGGGAAAAAAACTAAAGATCTGGTAATTGAGTATTTTGAACTTGTTGAAGAAATCAGGATTCAAGGTTGTTATAGAGAAAATCATACACTTTACCCTTACATGTTCCTCATATCTGTCAAAAAGTCAATTTATTATTCTGCTTATTTTTACTTATCGTTCAGTGATAATTGCTAAACAAACTCTAGTTTAAGTTTTTGTTTAATTAGACCATGAATTGAACTCGATACTTATACGCAGTCTTTGAGATCAACATTCGAGGAATTTTCCTGTTATTACTACAAGATGCAAAATAGTGCACTTTCTATTTTTCCGATCAAGTTTTTGGCGTTGTTGCCAGAGACTGCCAACATATAGAGTTTAATTGTAGTTCAATTGAAATTGTTTTTCCCGTTAACTAAAATTCTATTTACAGTTTTATTGTTATTATTTGTGTCTTGTTACTACTAATCTGTGTCTGATATTTTTACGTGAGGAGAATCCTCAGCTAATTTTCCTTTTGGCATAGAAATCAAAAGAACTTTCCATGCAAGGAATGCAAACTCGATTGTCCAGAATGACCTCAAAGTCAGAGGAAGATCATTTAGTTCATACGGAGTCAGAGTCAGAAGAAGAAATCCCAATGGGTGAAAATCCATCAGCACCTTGTAATAACCGGAAAAAAATATAGTCGCCACCATTAATTTTTATCCTAAGACGGGGATATAACATAATAACTCTAATTGTTGATATAGAGATTCGAAATTCTTGACTCACTTTAGACGAATGGAAGGTGTTAGACACCCTTCATCTACCTTGTTCACAAGGATACTAGGGTTTAGGTTTAAGGTTTAGGAATAGAGTTTTAATTTTAATTAGGGGAACTCGCCATTGTTTTTAAGTCGTATGCCTACGTATCCTCTTATGAGGAATCAAAATCTCAATTCTTAGTTCGTAGTTGTTCGATTAGTTTTTCTTATGGATTATGGAAATATCTCGAATTCTCCTTGAACCAAGTCTGAGTGTGTGGATAGCGGAATTTGTAGACGTAGTTCACAGTCAATAAAATAAATCTCCATAATTCTTTTTGGAAATAAATATATATTTGAGTTATGTGAGTAGAAAAAGTTAGTATTTGATTGGTTAGATGTTTTCAAATATATGATGCGACATGAGAAAAATAGATTTTTAATGCATGAGTAAAATATTTAATGCAAAAAAAAATTAGGGTTAGCATTTTAGAAAAGAATTTTGATTAATAAATAACTATTCTAATTATTAAAAATATATTAAATATTTTTAGTAACAATTTAATAATTATTTATTAATAATTATGCAAAAATATATTTAATGCAAATGCTACAAAAATATATGTGGAAATGAAAATAAATAAGATAAGCAAATAAGCAGAAATTAAAATAATTTAATTTAGTTAAAAAGGGGTGTAAAAGTAGAGGCTAGGTGTGTATCATAAAAATATTTGGGCTCAAAGTAATTTTGAATCCAAATAACAGGGGGTGCAAATTAGCGCTTGGTAGTAATATAGAGAGGTGTGGACATTAAGGGCTCAAGTCCAAAATTTGGACTTGACCCATTACGCAAAAGGTGCGTGGGTTTTAACTTCGTAGTGATTTTAAGGATGCTGGTAGCATTGGGCCTAAGCCCAACTTTCGTTTGGAGTCCATAAGGTCAGCGGGTATGAAATATTAGCTTTGTAGAAAAAATGGGGGCGTAGGAGTCAGAGGCCCAAGTCCAGATATTGGACTTGGCCCACTAGCGCGGGGGTGTATTGTTGGGCTGAGGAAACAATTGTGGGGGTTGATTTAGCAATGGGCTTGGCCTAAATCTTTGAATGATGGGAGGTCTGTTTGGACCGCGTATGAGTGTGCATTGGGAGTTACAGTGGGTGCACATCTATGGAGCGTTTGATCAAGATTGTGCGGTGATGATTGAAGGTGCACAATACGGGTACAGGAGATCACGTGGCCAGATGTTGGCCACATGTCCTAACGAGTTACAAGACGGAGGGAGTATATCATTTCATTTTCTTAATATTTTCATTCATTTTCAACACTCTTTCTCTCTCTCTCTCTCTCTCTCTCTGTCATTACCCTCAGTTCTCTCTTCTCTCGTTCTCTCTCTAACAACCAACAACAACCATACCCCAACCAAACCCTAATTGAAATCGGCGGCGATGCTAACCCTCCTTGGCCCCAAATAAAACCCTCATCCCCCTCATATCATTACAACAACATCAATTACGAAAACATTAAAAAGCTAAGCATAATGTTTACCTTTACCCGCCGTAGATCTTCAAGCTCAGTTTGTTTTACGCCTCCACTAATCTCCTCCCTTTGTTTGTTTTACAGGTACCAGAAGATGATGATGGAAGCGACGCGATGGTGATTTGAAGGAAGATTTAGGGTTTCTGTTCACAAACCCTAGATCCATATAATAGGGAATGTTGTACCCCAAAATTTTCCCTCCTTTTTTCTCAAGACATTTCTTACAAAAGTTCCCAAATGCTCAAGGATTCTCAAGAGCTGATCAGACAAGCTCACCCCCTAAGCACTAGGTCCATAACTAGGGTTTTGTTTTTCTCAAGGAAAATTGGACTTCTAATTCCCCAAGTTACTTTCATGATTCCTCATATGTCTTCAAGAATGCTCATACCAAGTTTCAAGCCTTGCATCACAAATTTGCTCAGTCAATTGCTCATATGACTGAAAATCAATTGTATTGGGTAAAAAGTCAACTTTGGTCAACATATAGTCAAACTTCAATATTTTTTTCCAGCATCAACATTTTGATATGATATTCATCATTTGATCAAGGGTTGATCATAATCCCTCAAGGAAAGCACTCAAATCATCAAAGGGGCAAATTGTCAAAATTAGGGTTTTGACTGAGAATGATTGATCATTGACTTTTGACCTAGTACATGACCTAATGACTTGAAGCATGATCTTAAGGAATCAAATACAACATCTTGATCTAATTAAATAGTTTAAGACATTTCCAAAGGTGCAAGAGATTGATAGTTGAAGAATTGAGATCAACTGAGGAAAAGTCAATTGTCACACAAAAGTCAAACTTTGACTTTTTGGTCAACTTTGAACTTCAAAGGTCAAGATTCATCAAGACATTCAAAAATATCAAACTTGATCATCAAGAATCAAGAAAAGTCAAAAGTTGGAAAATTTTCCAACACTTAGAAAAATTTCTAAGTGTTTTATCCTTATTAAATTCACTACTTCATGACCATTTTTCACTATGATGCAAGATGATTCAAGGAAAACTTTCAACATGAAAGTTGTAGAGCATGAAGAATTCTACAACTTTGTCCGATTGATGTCCAAAAAATGCTTGGATTAGGAGATATAGGCCCATGAAGTCATGACATTTTTATCTAAACACTTAGTGAAATTTTCAACAAGTTTGGTCAAATTTTTGTCCCAACTTCTTGGCCAATTTTCACTAAGTTCCAGTTTGATTTAGCCAAAGTGGTCAGCATGAAAGTTGTAGACAATGTTTCAAGCTTTCCAAAATTTCCAAGAACACATTTTTATCATGCTTGATCTAGGAGATTCTAAGAGATGAAGTTGAGCATCCATTCTTGAATTACAAGTCATTTCCTTGATGAAAACATAATCAAATCCTCATGTCATGCTGCACAATCTTGCTTTGCAGGCCTCTTAACCTCTAAATTTATCCATAATCATAGACCTACTATAGACAAATTATATAAAGCTTTATGTATCTAACATCTACTCGACCCAATATGTTGTTTGCGGTGAATCTAATTAGCATGTATATGGAGAATCCTACTGAACTGCATTTACAAGTGGCCAAAAGGGTGCTGAGATACTTAAGAGGAACAATTAAGTTTAGAATCTTCTATCGGAAGGACGAAAACAATGAGCTTGTTGCTTACACTGACAACGATTATGCACGAGACTTGGATGATAGGAAGAGTACTTTAGATTATATTTTCTTGTTGAGCTCAGGTGCTATTTCTTGGTCATTGAGGAAACAACCAATTGTGATTCTATCAACCACAGAAGCAGAGTTTATAGGTGCAGCTTCATGTGCATGTCAAGCCATATGGCTGAAAAGAGTGTTGGGAAAACTGTGTAAAAATAAAAGCAAAGCCACTGTGATTCGTTGTGATAGTAGTTCTTCTATTAAGCTTTCGAAGAATCCAATAATGTATGGTCGTTATAAGTATATTGATGTTCGTTTCTATTTCCTTTGGAATTTGACAAAGGCTGGAACTGTAGAGCTAATACACTATAACACACAAGAACAATTGGAAGATATCATGACAAAACCACTCAAGATGGATGTTTTTCTGAAGCTACGCAAATCTCTAGGAGTTTGTTTAGATAGTGATATAAACTGATTGCATATAGCATTCAGTTTAAGGGGATGATTTTTTTTGGTCAGTTTTGTGGTTTTTCTGTTTTATGAGTAGTTATTTCCTTTTGAATTAATCTACCATGTTATTAGGAAGTGCTAGTAGTGGGTGAAAACATAGATAATTTTTTTTTCAATTTCTCATCCGTAAAGTTATATATGAGCCAAATTGTTTCTTTTAATATATCAAACATTCCTTCTCACAATTTCCTTATACTTTCATATACGAATTTTAGTTCCTAACAAATTCATGACGAGTGGACTTTGTATTCTTTAATAACCCATATTTCAACCGTATCATTTTTCATAGACCATAGACTGAGAAATTCTCCAAATACCCACAAATCACAAAATTTAGGATCGATGTCAAAACCACCCGGCATCGGCATAGACATCTCTAGAAGTTTCCTTTCGGCTAAATCAAAGGAAACAATAACATTCATTGATGTATCACTATTAAAATCCAACCAATGAATAGCCCCATTAAAAAGAGACCATACTCGGGGATTATCAGACTCATTCATATAAGGGAGGTAAGTACCCTCAGTTTCTTTTCATGTATTAGCTCTCAATGAGAAAAATTCTAAATGGGATTGTAGAGAACATTACAAGCTTTCTAAAATGTCTGAGAACTCCTTAAGATCATTCTTGAGCAAGGAGAATCAAAGGCAAAAAGCTATGGTTTAAAGTTCTTTTACAAGGCAGAATTTGTGATGCACAATGGACCAAATCACATAGCCATGTTGCATAATCTCACTTTGAAGGCTTCTAACTTTAAATTAACTCATTAATTAAATGTTTACACAACATATTGAGCCATTGTCCAAGCATTTGAACCATTAACCAAATTGCATTTCCATTTTTGGAAGAAAGACATCATTGCTATTCTTGAAAAGTGGCTTTAATCACAAAGTCCACTCTCCTTGAGCATTGAACTTGTTCTTTATGTAAACACAAACCCTATAAACCAAAATCAAGCATGTCTAAAGTACTAATCACTCTATTCATCCCTGTACCATGCCTTGGAACAAGATGTTTCAAGTTTGCTTCAAAAACAAGAAAGATGCTACAACTTGAGAACTCAAATTCTGGCTTGTTGTAACATACAAGACCTCTTGCCTATAAATATACAAGTCATTTGCAAGCTAACACGCGCATGATCAAGCCCTGAAACCCCCCTAAAGCACAGAACCACCAAAAACATCTCAAAACTTGCCATTTCTGAGTTTTGAACCCAATCTCTAAATTTGCTCGTGCGTTTCTTGGCCTTTTACTTTCAAAAGCTTTTAATAACATATACAAACAATTTCAACACCTACAACACAACTGTAACACCTCCATCATCATCCACCATTTTCAAAAATAGCACCTTGCACCTTGACTTCTCCAGAACTCCTCAGCCACTTTCAGCTCAAGCCAAACATCACATTAGCTTCCTGGGAACTTAAGGAAGCTAACTCAATCACTAGAACTCATTGAAAGCTGCTCAAACTCAAAACACGATACCCTCTTGCAATGTGAGTTTTCTGACTTTTGAACTATTCATATAGGCATTGTTAGGCTTCCATTTTCAAAGATGAAGTTGAAGATGAAGTTGTCTTCAGGAAGCAATTTCTAATATATATTTATGTTTTGATATAAATAAACAAATGTATAGCCACCTCAGTGGTAAGGCAACGTGCTGGTAAGCAAGAGGGCGTGGGTTCAACACCCAGCGCGCTACCTTTTCTTCATTTTTCATATTTTTACTCTTTTTGTTTTTGTTTCAGCAAGCAGCGCCTAGGCCTCAACATTGGACTTTCATTATTTTTGCTGACTTTCCCCCCTGATTATGTTTCATACCCCCCTGATCCATTTTATTTATTTATTTCATTTTCATTTTTATTTTAGTTTATTTTACTTTCTGTGATCGGTGGAAATAGAACTGACTGTTTAACGCTGGTTTGCGAAATGTCGCGGAAGCAAGAGTCACCACCGTCTTTTATTTTCTCCAACATGGAAAGGACAAAAGCACAGCAAAATTCCTTATGAGATTGTCTCTCGGTTCGGGAGGTAGATTTATAGAAAGGGAAGGTGTTAGCACCCTTTCTATCCATGGTTATCCATGGGCTCTTAGATACTTGCTCTTATGTTTTCAAAATGTTTGCCTTTCAAATGTGAGTGGGTTTGAAAAAGTTTCATTGAAAGATTTCTGAATGACTCTTGTATCTGTCCTCAAGAGTGTTTGAAAAATTTGTTTTGAAAGCTTTTGAAAGTGTCGGTGTGAAAAGATTTTTGATTTGTTTTTGAAGAGAGCAAGTATCCATGAGTCATCTACCTACCCTAAGGAATTAGGCTGTGTTTTTGTTCTTAAGGTAGTGCCATCCCACCATTGAGAGGTAGGTAGCACCACCGTTGGAGGTGTTCGGGTTAATTCGATTATCGGGACAGTGTGGTCACCGAAGCAACGGTAGGAAACCTTAGAAGTAACCCTAATGTCCTAGATCCTTTTATCCTAGGCAACCGTTTCGAGGCAACTAGATCTTTTGGACAGAAGGGCGACCTCTAAGACACCCTGTGATCGGTGGAAATAGAAATGACTGTTTTTTAAGCTGGTTTCGCGAAATGTCGCGGTAAGCAAGAGTCGCCACCGTCTTTTATGTTCTCCAAAATGGAAAGGACAAAAGCACATCAAAATTCCTTATTCGAGAATGTTTCTCGGTTCGGGAGGTAGATTTATAGAAAGGGAAGGTGTTAGCACCCTTTCTATCCATGGTTATCCATGGGCTCTTAGGTACTTGCTCTTATGTTTTCAAAAGATTTGTTTGCTTTTCAAGTGTGTGTGGGTTTTGAAAAAAGGTTTCATTTGAAAAATTTCTAAGTAACTCTTGTATCAGTCCTCAAGAGTGTGTGAAAAATTTGTTCGAAAACTTTTAGAAAGTGCGGGTGCGAAAAGTTGTTTTTTTTGTTTGAAAAGAGCAAGTACTTAAGAGAATCTATCTACTCTAAGGAATTAAGCTGTGTAAGAGTCCTTTAGATAGTGTTATCCCACCATTGAGAGATAGGTAGCACCATCATTGGAGGTGTCCGGGTCAATTCGATTAAGAGACAGTGTGGTCACCGAAGCAATGGTAGGACACCTTAGAAGTAACCCTAATGTCCTAGATCCTTTGTATCTGAGGCAACCGTTTCGAGGCAACTGGATCTTTTGGACAGAATGGCGACCTCTAAGACACCCTATACTTGATGACCACATTCGAGGCAACCAGTGAGGCGTACCCTAAGAGTGGCATGTGCATTGTGTGTTGTTTTTCAATTAATTGTCTTTGTACATGTTATTTGTGAGCTACGGATTGGTTTTATTTACATACATTCTTTCATGTATTGTTAACAGTTAGGGGTGCGGAAAATAAATTGCGGGAAGATAAATCTAGCTATTACAAGGCGCGGGTCTATACATTGCCAAAAACAAAAACCCGTTTTGGTAAATAAAGTGCGAGAATAGTAAATAAAGCGGTAAAATTCCTAATTAACTATTACATATCTGGAGACAGTTACATAAATAATCAAAATAAAGTAAATGCGCGCGAAAGAATTAAATCGGGAACGTCCTAAGGGTTTTGACCCTTTTAAGAAAAGAATTGAATTTTTTTTTGTCTTTTTGTAATTAAAATGAAATTAAAACTAACTAATAACTAATTAATTAATTTAATTAAAATGAAAATGTATTTTTTGTGTTTTTATGTTTTTAATGAAAATAAAATAAAGGAATTAAAATTAAAAGTTAATAAAAACTTAATTCTAAATTTATTTTAATTATTAAGAAAAAAGGTTAAAGTTGCCTAATTAAAATTAATTCAATTTATTAGTATTTATTTACAAAAATAAAATGAAATTAATGATAATAATACTATTAGTTCTTTTTTTGATTTTTATGAAAAAAAGTTAGTTATGTTAATAGTTAATAAAAGGGAAAAAATAAAATAAGACAAACAAAATATAAATTGCAAACCCAAGGGGGGTTTTGGGCCAGATTGGGGTGTTTTGATTGGAATCTGAAGCCCATCAAGAAGCCAGCTTTGTTTGACTTTGGAGATTGCCTGCGCCTCTGTTGACCTGAGAACATGATGCTCCTTCCCTTGTGGCCATTGGATTTGCACTTGGAGACACTTGGCGCTTTGGATTTGTGAGGCGCATGATAAGCCTTCTTTGAAGCCTGCACACAAGTATGTAAGAAAAATAATATGGCATTTTGAGGGGACCTGGGAATACTTACAATGCTTGATAATGGACCTTAGGACGTGGCAAGGGTTGCTTTAGCTTCAGGGTATGGCAAAGAAGAGAGTCACGTTCTCCTCTTGGCCTGAAAATGCTTGCAAAAACTCCTTTTGATCTCACACTTTTTTTGACAAATTTTGGATTTTGCTCTGGCCGTTTGTGTAATGTTCTAGGTTGTGAATGAGGCTTGCAAGGCTTGTATATATAGTAATGAGTGAGAATAAGTCACATTTAGGAGCCTTTAACCATTGCAATTAAGCTTTGGATTTTGTCTTAACCACCATTAAAGGCCTTTCAAAGCTTGTTCAAAATTTGAATTTTCATGCCTAAATGAGCTTAGAACGAAATTGGTAGGTTGCAAATGCTTCATGAAGGCTATTCAAACCATAAGATACCATTTAATTAAATTTTTTAGATTTACTTGAATTATTATGGATTAAAATGAATTAAATCCATAAAAATTAAATAAAAATAGAAAAATAATTATTTGGTCTTGAAATTGATCATGGGACACGTGGGTGGCATGACAAGGATGAATCAAGTGGAAAAAAGTGGGCCCTTTTGTCAAAAATTGAAGTTTCAAGGATAGTTGACTTTTGCCATTTCACAAAAATTTCCCAACTTCTCCAATGCATATCTTGCTCAATTTTTATCATATGAACATGTTCTTGGACATTTTGGAAAGGTCTTGAAGTCCTCTAACCAATGCCTTTGTTCCCATGTCATTTTGATTTACCAATATCAAGTTATGGTCTTTGACTTAAAATGCCTTTTTGTTGACTTTTGAAAATGACCTATAATGTTGAAATTGGTAACTTTTTGTGAGAGCATTTCTTGGGCTTGGAATGTGAAAATGAGTTGTAGTAAATGTCATCCCCTTCAAAATGAGCATTGGATGGGATTTTTCTAATGAACCATGAAAAAGTTATGCCTTGGTCAAGTTACAGTTGACTTTTCAATTGTCCAAAAATAGAAACTTTTACATCTTGATGATTTTTGAGCCATTCTTGTGAAATCATGGTCAAGATTTGACCAAATGATGATTGTGGCTTCAAAATAAGATGTTGACCAAAAATTTTGACTTTTGACTGCCAAATGACCATTTTACCCCTACAGTTGATTGTGGAGCAACTAGGGCTTTTAACTGTGCGACTTGATGCTATGAGTCTTGAAACTTGGCATGTAGATGCTTGACAATGTATATAGGCATATGGGACTTGATTGAGCCCTTGAAAACCTCAACTTCCTTGCAAGAACCAAAACCCTA